CACAACTGTTTAGTTAAAGCTAAATTCTCATTTTGCACTAAAATTCCTCCTCCTGTATTCTGCAGATAGCTTAAATTGTCTGCAGAATATTGGGTGTCATGAAGTTTTTTGTTTTTCATTATTTTAATCAATATCACCAGTTAATTTTATTTAATAACTTTCTTTGGTTATTATTGGAATCAGAGACCTTTTTCCAGTTCATTTATTTTTATCAATTTAGCCTCTCATTATTATTTTATTACCTTGAAATTTGAAAACAAATCCTTGTCATAATCACCTTCTTCTAGTATTTTCTTTATTTTGACTCCTAGTGAACTTTCTAAAATTCAATATGATTGTGTCACTGTTGCTTAAAGTATATTTACTTGGCTTATTTTTGCTTTAACAAGTAATTCCAGTTTCTCTAGTTTAAACTGCAGGCTCTTCTGCTACCTGACCTTTGCTTATTTCTGTAATCTTATCTCTGTAATCTTTCTGTGGCATCAAAAATCCCCATTTCATAACACACATACACAACACACATACACACACACACACACACACACATCCATCCATATCTATGGAGGGTGCAGAGGAATGCAGTCAGGAGGGTTGTAGGAGGCAACTCAGTAAATCCTCAAATTGAGTTCCAGGAAGGTATTAACCAAATTCCTAAAAGGAAGAAAAAGGCTGATAGGCGAATACAGAGGAGAACTGTATTTACCTGTCTCAATTTAAGCAGAGTAGCTCTGCTGTTATCTCTTTTATGTGTTATCATTTTATTTTGTCTGGAAAAAATGGTGTTGCTAGAAAGAAAAGAAAAACAATATAAAGTGATAAAACCACTATGTTACACTTGGCCCAAATGAACCACTGCAGTTCAGTAACTTGTCTTTGTTTCCCACACCTTTATTTCTCTTGCTTTGCAGTCTAAGAAGGCCAGTACCTCTCCCACCTTGTTGATCTGGCCCCTCTCCAATGAAGCCTTCCTTGCAAGCGTTCCTTTGAACTCTTGCTTTAGAGGTCACCCCTGCTGCTCCACACTTTGGCAACTGATACCAAGTGTTCCCCCTCTCATAGCACTTATATTCCATTTTATTTTTTCACTTTACTTTCTCCTTCTAAGACTGCTTTTTCACAGCAGACTCTAAGTTACTTACTCATTTTTATATATTTGGAAGACTCTTCTGTTTACAGCTGATCTGCTTATTGTAAAGGCAGAGATACATTGGGGTAGTACAATCTATTCTGCATAAACATCATTTTAATTAACTAAAATGTTTCAGTTCGTGGCACCAGTAGAATTTCATTTTCTTTGAAAGGATTTTTGCTTCCTTTTGTGACTTTTTAAGTACCTACTAATTAAGCACAGGAAAGCAAAACAAAAATAAATGTTTTAACTTTCGGGCACTGTTGTTTGAATTCATATTTTATAAAGCCATCAAGCCACATCAGGAGACACTCACTGTGTTTCAGTATCTCTCAGCTGGCCTTCTAGTTCCCCACTTCTCCCTATGTGAGGTGAGTCTCGCATGCCATGTGACAATGGTAAATGAAACTTACAGTCCTCACACTATTACTAGGTGGACATTGTTATTGTCCATGAAGGCATGGCAGTTGCAGCTCCATCACTGGCCCCTGCTTAGCTTAAGTAACCCACAGACTGTCTTATCTTATCCTGTCCTGTACTATCTCACTACCTGGGTCTCACTTTGGCTTGGATGGAAAAGAATCCTCCAGAGTTTAGGCAGATCTTCAGTCTATTTCTTGGCCTGAGATGTCATGATCCCAACTTCTGCTGCAGAGTTGTCAGAAATCCCAAAGCTGACTTGCTAGCTTTCAGCTCTGTTTCCTTTTGATCTCTTGAAAGCCAGGTACTCTCTTTGGCATCATCCATGCAAGGAGAGGCACAGAGGGAATCCTGAGTCTAAAGGGAAGCTCTGGCCCTCAGTCCATTTACACATGGATCCCCTTATTCTTTGGGAGAAAGCTCTGTGTCGGCACAGGGGCATTGTGAAAAGTGGCCCCTTTCAGATTTACACTGGGGGATAAAACATCTACCTGCCATCTACCAAGAGCCTCTGCCACCCTTTTGGGCCATAGAATATGACTGTTACCCTTGGCTGCTTCTCTCTCCTGTGTCAACCTCTGGCTCCAATTTCATGTATATCAGGAGTGTATTCAACTCATCATATAAAAATTCTAGAATTTGACCAACTAAGTGTGTCTCTGTAATACAGAATGAGAGGAAACCAATTCACCATATCCTATTTTCTCAAACCTAAGTTGTTCTATTATGTTTTGTTTTTGTACTGGGAATTGAACTTGGGAACTCACACCTGGCAGGCAGGCGCTGTGCCACTGAGCTATATTCCTGGCCCTTCAACCTATTGTTTAGCCTTTTTTCCCCCTCAGAATGATAACTATTATAGATCTGTAGATGGTTGTAATAAAAAGTTGCCTTGTTTAGTACTTGTAGACTGATTGCCCTTATCACAACTTGTTACATGTAGTCATTAAGAGAGCTGATATTTCTTTTCCCCTGCTTTCATCTTCTGTATTTTATACTATAGTTCCTTGATCTTTATTTGCCTATAAAGTTCTCAGATTTGATAAAAACTGTTATATGATACTGTGATAGAAGTATGATATTTAAAAAAAGCACCATTGCAGCTCAGGAAATCTCCACAGCACTGTCTCCTGTGCTGCGATTCACCTCCAGATCTGTCTTGACATCAAGAAGCTGTGTCTTGCTTGTCACTAAGGAGGGACCAGCATCTTACTGTGGGTTCCATCTTACTGTTGGATGCATCACATTGACCCATTCACCTGTGAAGTCTGTAGTTTTTCCATGTTATTAGTTTTCCTAATTAGCCACAATCTCTGTGCATGGCTTTTTTTTTTATATCACTATCATCACATTTGAGAGTTAAGAGTACAGAATGTTAGGAAAGGCCATTTTGGCAGTAGTCCATGTGATATGTTGTTCAATTTTATGTAGTTGAACTATAGCTGCTACTAGTGTGTCTCCTCTAAGGGAGCAGAACAGAACTAAAAATATTTTCTGACTTGTGATTCTTCCGAGCAAGGCAAGAGATGTGAGAGCTGGCAGAGTAGACAAGATGCTTAAAAGTTGTCCCTTTTAAATATATGTGTGGTGTGCAAAACCACAGTCTATTCTGGTGCAGGATCATAAAACCAGAAAATTTCCAAATTGACACAGAAAAAGAACTGTTGCACCTCACCAAAACCAGAGTCAAATACCATATTTACCAGTTTGAAATGCAGTTGTTTTCTGGGAGCTTTGTCACCAATTCCTTTTAAAGCGTGTATTCTTGTAATGAGTATATCAAACCTTAAATTAGTCCCCAGTGCAACAAAGGAGCAATGAAAATGTAATCTCAAAGGTTATTACATGAAGCTTGTTTTGTATAGTTGGCTCATTCTCTCTAAAATTGAAGTTATTTTCCCTCACTGAACTAGTTTGGGCTGGGGGAATATGCTTCAATTCTCCCTTCTCATCCACAAATTACACAAGTGCAAGTACAGAGTTAACATTTATTTCATAAATTGTTCACCATTTTTATATTTAATTTCTACTTTTCAAGAATACATTCATGCTGTCTCTTGTAGGTCTCCTTTCAAACTTTGAAGATAACTCTTAAAGGCAAAAAAGTTGAATTTGTGGTCAAGAAGTACAGTGAATTTCGCAAAGTTCTTATGTCAAAGTGACACACATTGCAATGTGGTATAGGTATCTTTCTACCGTTGGCACTTGTCCTTCAGAAAGCATGAAGCAATGAGCATGTCCATTTGTTACAGGAAATACTTTTAAGTGTAATACCCAAAAAAAGAAATTAGTGGGCATTATCACTCAAAACATATAGTTGGATTTGTTGTACTGGTGGTACAATAGCTGTTTATGCCAGAAAGTATTTCTCACTTTATCATTAGAAACCAATATGCATTTATCTGTAACTATATTGTAATGTTTTCTAAAGATTTGGGACATATTCTAGATTTAATTTTTGCAAGATGATTCTTAAGTCTTGAGCTGAATGACAAATGAAGCTGCTTTGTGATAAGCAACAACAGAAAGCGAAGCTGTTGATTTGTGAAGTTTGAGACCACATCAGTATTCCAAGCCAAACAAAATCACTGCTATCTCATTAAATAGCACTGTGTAGAAACTTAAAGATTTTTGCACATTTTAATTCAGCTGGTAGCTTGATTTAAAACAACATTGATTTTTTTCAATTTATTCTTGGTCATGTATATCATGCTAAGTATCAAAATGAATCTGTAACTATTTGAGGCTGTCTGCATAAATTTTTGGAGAGGCTTTCTTTCCCAATGCTAATTTTCATCAATTTGCTATTACTTTCATTTCCCCTTGAGCTTTACCTTTTTAGAGTTATTATTCATTCTTTTCACCGTATACTAGAATCATTAAACAATTAAGCCTTTATCAGGTAGAATAGCAAAAGACTGTATGGGTAATAATGAGGCTAGATGTTCTTCTCTTCAACCTGTTGGCCCATTTTAGCAGAAGAGTGTCTTGCCAAATTATCTTTATGTGGTCATGAATAATGTTAACAAGGGTGGATGTAGAAGCAAGGATAGAGGGTAATTCTAATGGCAGGAATGACAGTAATATTCACCTTGCACAACACACTAATTCCTTGACAAGATGCTGTCTCCTCTTGCTGCTAAATTAGGTACATATTAAGTAACTAGTCCCAATACCTACTGCTTTCTAACAGAATTAACTCAGAGAGAATGAATATACCTTTCAGGATTTAGAAGTCTCTCATGAGGCCATGTAACAATTACCTGGAACACACATTTAATCTAGAATGTCTGGTACATTAATTGTACGAGTTGTCCTTCAAAATATGTATGGGATAGGCAGAAAAGACACTTACTTGAAGCAGCTGTAGTTTCTGTCTACTTTTAATTGTTGGCTTCATATTGAATACCAAAGTAATCGAGGTCTTCAATTGTGATGTTTCTTTGCACAGGATTTCAAAGTGAGAAATCAGATCTTTAGTGAGAAGATACACCTATATTAAACCAGAAATCAGTGGCCGGTGATACTGATAAGAGTAATTATAAAATTAAACACCTGTGAAGATTACAATGGAAATCAAAGAGGAAGGAACATCAGAAGAAGGCCAGCACTTTCTTTCCACAGCCCAGGCCAACGATAGTGATGGCACTCAGTTCACAAGTAAGTATGTATGTGCCTCTTCCTGTAACTCCGTAAAGATGCAAGTGACATTGACTGAAAACCACTGCCATGCATTCAGGATCATGGCATAAGAGCATCTGGTCATGTTTCCTGTGCAATATTTACTTTGGTGTTGTAAATGTATGATGTGCCGCTTATCTTTCACCTTGAGTAAGACAGATGATATGCATGATGTAATTAATTATCAAATAGTAAATCACAGTTTTGGAGGTATATTAACACACTAATGGAGACATGTTCCATACTAAACAATAAAACTTAAATCCTAAGTATAACACACCTTCCTGGACAGCTTTTAGATACTATTGCTATTTAAGGGTACCTTCACTTTAGTATTTATATATTCTTTGTGGAATTGCTTTTTAGAACACAGAAATTTCCTTTAAAATCAAAAGATATTTAAGTTGAAAGCATCAGTGAAAAATTGTTACATTAGACCCTTGAACTGTTTGTGCTATACTTCAGAGCACAGGTTAGCATAAATAGAGCAAGCTTGGAGATTTGGCCAAGTTTGCAATTGATCATTAGAATCAGTTTTTGTGATACTCAAAGTCATTGGAAAAACTGTACGTTTTCTCTCATGCTTAAAATTCTAGAGCTCAGTTTTACTGTTTAGTATGGAATATGTCTTCTTTCAGAAGACTTCTGTTGCCCAGTTACTTAACATTGACAAATATAAGCCAACCTCATGTAATTTACATTATAAAAATGATCTTTAGAAAGTTGTATCAGTTGGATAGATTTTCAAGAAATTTGCTTGTCAGAGTTAACAATAGAGTTAATTATTAATAAGCTTTAAAAAATCCAGACGATTTGAATTTTACGAAGACCTGCCTATCATTGTCCCACTAACCTCTCAAGTGGTCTATACTTGTTAACCATAGCATTCTTAAATGTCAGTAGGAGAAAACAAAATAAATGGTTATTGTGCCAAAACAATTAACACTGCAAATAAAAACATTATTTTTATGCAGAGAGGTTTTTAAAAATGTAGTAGTGACTAAATACCTGTAAATTTAAATAGTATCTAATGAATGTAACAACAAAAATAAATAAGAAAAAAATGTAATAATACTACATTTATTGCTAAATGGTTTACTTTTCCACACATTTTATTTTTGCTTCTTTGGCCACTTATGAGTTGTAATAAATGACATCCCATTTGGACACCCACTATTCATTCGCTGAGGTCCAGGAAGACCCTGCTCACTGTGAGGTCACAGGCACCGTCTGTCCAGTTTATCACCTGCTGCAGCCTGATCATTCGTGTTTGACATAAACTGTCTACATTGTCGTGCCTTTATTCCCAGACTCACTTTCCTCTCACTTGATTTTAAATCACTTTAAAAGCCATATTGTTATATTTTTTACCTATTGCTAACAAAAGAAGTAGAAACAATTAACAGAATGTTGATTTAACCTGTCAAAAAATAGCACAGTAACCGGCACCATGTCAAAGCCCACCAGAATCTTATTGGAGAAGTTTAATGATTTTCTATGTACAGTAAGTCAGAGTGGCTTAAAAGAAAATCCATGTAAGAGAATATTGGAAGAGGTGGTTCTTTTTAAAGGCTCTACTTCTGTCTGCCTGTTTCCAAAAGAAACAGACACAGTTGAAAAATATGTTTCTTATTTGTCATGGTTACAAAACGGTATTTTTCAGTGTCTTTATGCTTGCGGAGCTAAATGGTTCAGTTAAATCTTTAGTCACAAGTTCTGCTGCGGCATCTTGCTACCTTTTGACAGCACTCCACTGTTAAGCCTGATTGCCCAAGTTCATTCAGTCTAGTAATTCTGTGTTTATAAACAGAAGTCAAAGTGAAGTCAGTAATGCATATTCTTATTAATAATGAATTAAAATATTTAGACCTGAATTTACATTGTTATTTATAGGTATTCAGAAGAGTGCAAATGAACCACAACTGGAATTCATTCTTGGTAAGGAGCTACATCTCATTTGTATTAATAAATATAATAAGAGTTTGTATAAATAGTTCGTGGATTATAGTTATACTAGTTAAATCATTACATATTTTACAAACTTTTATAAACATGGTACTACTTAAAATTTTTTTCCTTAAGGTAGTTGTTATTTTTCTCAATTTATTAATAAAGAATCTGGGCTGCTATATAAGTTAGTTTCCTGCCCAAATAGTTAAGATTCCTTGGTGAGAGCGCTTTATGTTTTAACCGGGTATTTACAAGTATGTTGCATCCACCACTCATTCTGATTCCACAATTGATTCAGTGTTGCTGCAAATCTGTTTACTTTTCTACTCTTTGGACTGGAAACTGGCTACGTGTACAGCTGCACTGCATGCTTCTTTTGATGTTTGTAAGATTCTTCTTCACTTTCTGCCTTACTCAGAAATATTATTCCTTTACTCTTCCGTATTGATTCTGTAGACAAATCCTTGGCACTTAGAATTTAACTTTAAATTCAAGCTTTGACTTACTTAAGCAACTATAAAGATCTGTCACATGTAAAAATGTGTAACTTTGTCCAGGGATAAATTCAAAGTGTTTACTCAGACTGGCCCAGTATTTTGCTAAGGAGTAAGAAGTGTTCTGTGCTTGAATCAAGTGGAAGTGTAAAAATACCATTAGGGAACTACTTGCAAAAAACTACTTAAAAAGGTAAAATTAGGGTTCATATGAAGTATTTAGACCATTATACCTTCTTTTTATGGTTCTGAAATGCACTGAAATGGCAACAGTGTCTTTCCATTTTATTTTAGGTAAACTTTATAATTTGTAAAAACATATATTCAATGCATAGAAACCAGGTACATTTTAGTATAGAAATCTTTGCATGTAAATAGAAATGTGTTCTAAAGATTGGGAGAAGATTCAAGTGTGAATACAGTTTACTTGTTTTTAGTGGGTTGACGTTCCAATTATTTTAGGATTATACATTTTCATGAGCATGTTGCAAATTTATTTTGTTTGTTCAATATCCAATTGTAAGGTATAACTTACTGCGATAGTAATTATGTATAATGTGTATTTTCAACATTTTTAAAGTCACAAATATAGCTAATTGGTGCTTTAAAGGAAAGAATCTAGGTATTTTCCCCTTAGCTATTGAGAAATAGGCAGAAATATAAAACTCAAACTTTCATGGAGATATCAATAACACTATACTTTACCTTTAAGAATTTTCAGATGGTTTCAGATTCAAAATGAACTTGTCAGATTCAAAATGAAAGAGAGCTGAGAGATCAAAGAAACTTATGTACCCCTGACTCACCGAGCAGAACTCTCACTACTAAAGCTTCTGTCCATCTTACATATTAAAAACAAGATGCTTATAATCCCTGTTGATCATTTTCACAGGCCTTCTGCAGTGTGAGGATGTGTTAGAACAAAGTGTTGTATTTCTGATCACAAACAAAGCCTTCCTCTTGGATTGCTAGGAAGGACGAATCTGGGGGTAGCATAGCAGTTGGATTTGAGGCCTTCTATTTCAAACAAAATAAAGATCTTGTTCAAAAGCCTGTCTTATTTGTTATGATAGAGTAGTCAGGTTCAGTAGCAAAGCTGCCATCACTTATTGTGCTTAAATTATAGAAATAAAAGATTTGAGATTGCAAGGATTAATTCATGGTAATATTCTTCCATTAAAAAACATCAGATCTTTGTCTTTCTAAATTATTTTAAAAATACACTAAAGTCCTTGAAAATAATTTTATTTTATCAAATAGTGAGAAATACCCAAGTGAACACCAGTTTACTAAAGAAAATTGTTCAGGCTCTTCAAAGGATTGTACTATTGATTTTAGAAGATGTACTCTCTAAACTGTTAGGCTTCTTAGAATTTTAAGGTCCCCAACCATACTGTTTATTGAAGAATTTATAAAAATAGTTTTTTAATACTCATAAGTTTTACTGTGTATTTCTGTCCCTTTTTAAAAGTTTATTCTTAACCCCAGAAATTCTTCAGCTGTATTTTTCGCATGGTTAACTTTCATGCCCGTAGTAATGAATAATGAGAGAACAGTTGTTTCCTAAAATAGTTGCATCATTTAAGGATGTGCATATTTATTTAATCAGATGTGAAAGCAATAAATTCTAAGGACAAAACAATACAGAGGTTTTATTTTCCACCCAAAGTTTAAATATTATATTCTATGTGCTCTATCAGAATATTCAAATAAGTTGAGAATTTGAGTGGTCCTGCACTTTAAATTAGAGAAATAATCGCACTAGTCATTTTTCTTGGTGTTACATTGCTTTGCATGAGCTATTTTCCAAGAAGATTTGTTTCCCCCATGTCTGTGTGCTGCTATAAAATCATTATATCTTCCTGAAGTTCCTTGGCTCCAACTTTATTCAAGTAAATGAGGTAGGAGATGCTTAGTCAATTGAGCAAGCTAATTGGCTACAGATGTCTTAATAGCACTAGACAAGCATTACTGAAAAAGTGAATACCTTATGTCCACTGTTAAGTATATTTTGAATGGTCGGCTGCATTTAAATTAAATAATTTATTACAACTGCAATTCTGCATCCATATTTGTTTTCTTATTTCTTTAAATTAAGTATAAGCTTTAAGTTTTCACAAAGAAACCAAAGAATAAGTAATATCTAAGAGAATAGCGACTTTGCTTATGGTTTAATAAAATTGCTTGCAATGAAGCTGGTGTTTTAAAGCAGAGATCATTTCTTTAAATCCATATACATTTCCTTCTTCAAGCCATTGTCAAAAATGTATAGAGACTAATCTTGAATTGATATAAAAATTCTATGAAGTATTTTTAGTTTGTTCCCTTTGATTACGCTTTTAACATTGTCTTGTGCCACCATTTGTTATCTTCAGAGTTAATAAAATATGATTTCAAAATTTTTATGTATTTCACATATATTATTAATCCAAATCAGTAGCTCACAATCCTTCTCAAACACATGGGATATATATATATATATATATATATATAGATAGATAGATAGATATAGATATAGATATGGATATAGATATATTGATGGTGATCACTAAATTCTTTATTTGACACTGTGAAGTCTTGTTCTTCAGTTTGTATCTCGATGGTGGGTGGTAAGTGGAAACAAACTAATGAAATATGCATTTTACATGTGTTGGTAAGCTTTGCAATTCATTATGCTAGGAATGGGAGCATGGGAGCACTAGTGAAATCCTTAACAAGTTCAAGTAATTTATTTATTAAAGTTGTACTACGAGAGGCCCAGAATTCTTATAAAAAAATAATTCCAGGTGATGTTAGATTCCCTGTACAGAAAAACAAGGCACTGTCTAAAATATGCTTGGAAGAGAAGCACCAATTTAGGAGACAAGACATTATTTAGATACAGATTTCAAAGCAGTCACTAACTGTCCAAAGATCCTTACATAGAATGTGGATGCTGACTTGCAAATTGTCTTCTCCTAACCTGAAACCCAGGTAATTTTATAAAGATCAAGGAACAGGCTGGTATTTAAATAGCTGGTAATAAGGTCCTTATAAGAAAAGTGGAGTTCAAGGTTAATAATTAGGTTACTGGCTTAACCAGACTTCAAACCAAGTCACAAATTTATATGATATTAAGGTAAAAATAGCTATTAGGATAAACAGCAGGATGGTGAGGCTCCATTCGTTATGATGCTGGAAGGCCAAGCACACAGACGGCTACAGGAAAGAATAAATGCAGAGCCAGAGAGCTCTTCCTCCCATGCCTCTTCCAATTCCTTCTCACCTTCACCTGTACCTAATGCCCTGGACATCTGTGGAGAGGGAGGGAGTTGCAGACTGGAGGCCAGAAGCCTCTAGTGACTAAGAGGTAGAGTCGTGGGATTTGAATGTAACTCTCAGGTCTATTGCCTTCTGTGAAGTTGCTTTATCTTTAAGACTCAATGTCTTATGGAATAATTTTTCCCAGAGACAATTTTTCTTCTTACATCCACCCCACCATCGCTGCTTTAATAGATTTTCTTTTTTAAAGAGTAGGAACACTTACTGGAGGGAAGGAGTGGGGGCTAGAAAAAGCTTCTGAGAGAGAGTAGGGTTCCTGAGCACTTTGCCCTCTTCTGTAGGTTTTATTGATGAATAAAATAAGAATAACAGAGCTTTCAGTCTTTATCTTTATCTAACATTGGTAAATCCACATTCACTGCTATAGTGATCCTAGATAAAAATCAGTAACAGGCCATGTAGAACTGCACCACAGTTAACTACATAATGTGATCATGCATCATCTTACATTTATAGGCAGAGTTAAACTTTTTCTTTCTGTTTCATCATCTCTTTTCTTGGATTTTCTCCTAATATATCAGACTCAGGGAGGATGATAGAAAATACGGACTGACAGTACTTCATCATTTTCTTTAGTTGATCAGTCTATGCTGTTGTTTAATTTCTACAGCAAAACATGCATGTGGAATACTAGACTGTCATTAAAACTCATCTGTCAAAGGGTTATCTAGTCACACAAGAGAATACAGGTTTTAAAAGCAGATAACAATAGTATTTACAACATATCCCTCAAGTAACACTGTCAGCCTGCATGTACAAAAGAACAGCATTAAAATAATAAGCATGAAATTCTCTAATCATGATTCTCACCAATGAGTAGAATTTTATTTCCCTTATGATGCATTTTGCTATTTTAGAAAGTCTTTGCCTTATACTTATATAAAGTTCACAACTGAATATTTTTTCTTTTAAATAAACTGAGTGTGCTGAACAACAGAAGAGGCATATCTGAAGAGGTAAAAATCATTATCTACCTTCAGTTAGCTAATAATATAATTTGAAAGCTCAAACCAGTGAGCCTAAAATCATTAGAAGACCCTTGGACTAAAGTATTATTTATGGTCTCTGAGACTGTTAAAGATTAAGTAAGAAAGAAAGCAAATGCGAGAAACAGTGAATGAGATTACCAAGCAGAACTGACTAGAGACAGGGTCTAAGTGAAGGAAATAGTAT